TACAATTACTGTTTATTATAAACTGAGCATTTACTTATATATTTGTAACTATAAAAAATAACATACTGATATATATATATATATATATATATATATATATATATATATATATATATATATTTAAGCAAATGTAAATGGATATAGATCTGACAGAATGAAGAAAAAAATTTGGAAAAACTAACAAAATACGTTTTGAAAGCGTCGGCCATGTGACGACAACGTGATCATGCTAAACGGAAAGCTGATCATTTTAAAATTTTCAGTTATCTGTTTTGGATAAGACTTGTTTTTTATGTCCATCGTCTTTGTCAAATTGAACTGAATTGTATTTTAATGAATATTGTCCTGAAGAAGGTTTATTAAACCGAAACGTCAGACGTCGACATTTCATTCATTTTAAACAACATAATTGCATTTAAGGATTTTTGTTTGTTTTTTTCCATTTTTTTTCTTCATATATATATATATATATATATATATATATATATATATAATACAGAGCAAAGTCAGCAGTTATAGAATATGAATTAATAAGGCGAATTCAAGCTTATAACAAAACAAATGAAAACTGTAAAGGTAAAAAATTCGCATTTATTTTGTTCACTCTTTCGCACGATTTAATAGTTTTGCTGTCAATCAACCAGTAAATTTTCTTTTAACCTTTTGAACTTGTATATTTTATTTCCTCTTCCTCTTGCGAAATTATGTCCTTCATTTCTAGCTTTTATTTTTATGATTTTTTGTATATCTATTTACTTACATGTAGACGCATTACATTTATTATTATTATTATTATTATTATTATTATTATTATAATCTTATCATAAATTATTTTTCTTTTTTTCTTTCTTCGTCACTTTTCTTCTTCTTTTGATAATTCTTCATCATTTTTATTCATAGAGCTAATTTTCCTTTACTTTCATTTATTCCTTTCTTTTCATTATATTCTTTTTCTGCACTTTTTTCATTGTCTTTCATTTCAGTTGTTGTTTTCTTTTCATTCTTCCTTTCTTTCTGTCTTTTTATTCTCTTCATATTTTCTTTCATTTTCTTTATTTTTCTTCTGTTTTCTTTTCTCTGCTTCTTTCATTACCTCTCTTTTCTCTTGTTTTTCGTTGTTATTTGCTTTTTATGTGTCTTCCTTTCTTTCTTTCTTTCTTTCTTCCTTTCTTTCTTTCTTTTCCCCACTTCTAACATTTCCTTTTTGTTCTTTTTGGTTTTCATTGTGATTTCCTTTTTATCTTTTTTTTCTTTCAATCTTCTCATTCTCTTAGTTTTCTTTCATTTTCTTTCTTTTTCACTTGTTCCTTTTTCTTTATATTTCATTCTTCTCCTTCTCTTCATTCGCTTATATTTGCTTTGATTCCCTTCCATTTCCTTTTATATTTCTTTCTTTCTTTCTTTCTTTCTTTCTTTCTTTCTTTCTTTCTTTCTTTTTCCCTTCACTCTGTAGTTCTTTTTCACTCTGCTTTCATTTTGTCTTCTTTCTTTCTTTCTTTCTTTCTTTCTTTCTTTTCCTTCTGCCCATTCTTTTATTTTCTCTTCATTCATTTCTTTCCATTTTTTCTTTTTCTCTCGTTTTTTCTATATATCATTCTTCATTTGTTTATTTCTCTTCATTCTTATATTTTTCTTTCTTTTATTTTTTCTTTATTTATCACCTTTTTCCTACTAAACATCGTTTTTCTATTTCTCTACCGATTTTGATTTCTTCATATCTTTTTCCTTCTTTCATTTTATTTATTCTCTCTCATTTTCTTTCGTTATTTTTTCGATCGTCTGAAATTTTCTTCTTCCTCCCGCTTTAAACTATTTCCATCATCTATAATATCAATATTTCTTTTGATTAGTTTTCAGTTAATTTTTTCCAACTCCATGGATATTTATGTTTATTCCGCCAGCATTTTTCTTAAAACAAAGAATTAGTCCATCCACTTTTCGACTTTTAATAGGCATAATACTATATGCAGTTCCAAAAATTCGTTGTGTACTTTTTTTCCTCTTCATTTTATCACTTCAACTAGAACTACCTCGTCTGATTTACTTATAAGACATTTTTTTTTTTTTGATCTACGCAGATTTTGTTTTCATTTGTTTCTGTGGTGCCAAAAAATATATAGAATTTTATTTTAGAATCGAGATGTCAGGAAATACTTTTAGGAGAAAAGAAAAAAAAAAACGGAAAGAAAATTCTAAATACTCACCTGACTTAACCTAAACTAGCATCTTTTCAGACATTTTCAGATTTTTCTTCCAACACAAAGAATTCAGTATTTTTGTTTAGCTAAATTTTGTCGACGCTAAAAAGTTATGTCTTGTAGAATGCAGGGTTATTCCTGATTTTTGTTA